AAAATCGGCTTTAACCCACTTGCTAACTTCTAACAAAGTAAATGCAGCAGAATATAAACTAAAATCAAAATAGTATAAGTAAACGTTAGTTGAAACGTGCATTTCATGAGTACGCACTTGTAAAATCGTTCAATCATACTGCTGGTTATTCGGTGTGGGCCAGTTCCACCAACTCGCACCATTTCTTCACTTCCAGGCTCGAGGCGAAACAGACCGGAGAACTGGCAACCACCCCTCAAGAGGATTATAAAGTGCTGTCCGTCAGTCCGTCCAAGGTCCTGGAATATAAGCACACGATGAAGCCTGGCTACTTACTGTCTCAGGTTCACAATAAGGTACTCTAGGCAAGGGATGGATCACCTGAAGGATGTTCACTTTCAGTTGCTCATTTACTCGACCGGCCAAGCAGCAGTGAATTAGAGCATTAGTGATCACCCGCCGGTTTGACTTAGTTTGTGGTTGAACATAGAGACGTGGAGGGTCACTGAGGGGAGTATGGTTGCAAGAGGCTGGGCGTCGAGAGCTTGATACAGGGCCCGTACTCGGCAATGGCTGTTCTTTCGCACCTAGAAAGAAAATAAGGAGAGTTCAGAGGAAAAAATTCCAAAAATAGGGTTTCTGACGGTCATGGTAACCTACATGCAGGTGACACGGTTACTTAACTGTCCTTATTCCTGAAAATGTTCTGCATATGATTTTGGAGTGCGAACTGTTGGCAAGTCAATACAAGTAAATGTAAATGTATTAGGGCAGAAACAGAAATATTTTCGGACGGCTGTTTTTCTACGTAGAAGCCACAGCTACAAAACCTGTGTCTGCGATGGCAAACTCGGCGGACACTAGCACATCAATCAGGACTCACTCGCTTGGTGCGAAGGAGTGGAGGAGGCCGGGGAAACTCTTCGGGCTGTAGATGGTGTTGGACTGCAAACGTCTGCTGCAGAACCGGCCTTCTTGTTGATGTGTGCCTTTAAAGGAGATTAAGAGGGGAACAAATCCTTAATTTTATTTTGTAATAGGACTTGCCTTCTACAGTTCTGTCCCTATAGAGAAGTCTTGTGAACAATAAAAAAGTGAGTTTATTTAATAAATTAGCGTCCGATACTCCCATGTTTTCTAACTGAAATAAACTTCTTTGCCCATATGAGTAGCCTTACTGGAATACTGATGTATCACCGGTAAGTGAACGTCGCGAATTTTCTTAACCGGATTTCTAAATCACAACGGGAGGTCCCTATTTGGTCCTACAATTACAGCAGACCAATAGACATCGCACCCATGTGATTTAAAAATATTTCTAATCAAAATTGGAAGATTCCTGCCCGTTACACGGATATTACAATGTTTGGATCAAACTTTTTCAACCATTAACTGAACCGGGTTAAACTAAAATGTGCTTTTAGATTGATGATTACAACTAAGCCAGAATGACCATTCCACTCGCCTTTGGTCTCTGGTAATAAGGTCACTTAAACTGTTCGAAAAAGCAATCGCATG